GGGAAAGAGAAGAGTTTGGTACTATGAAGATGGATGGGTAAATCACTTTACACTTCCTTCCAGATTCAGAGTAATATAGTAAATCTATAAAGCTAAGATTTCAAGCTGGCACCCATTTCCTATGTCTATACCAAAACATTACTCAATTCTGAAAACTTTGGAACTGAGACTCTTCAGGACCCCTAAAAGTTAGGATGCTTATGGTGGCCCTCAGTTTGGATTTGGGAACTAACCTGTGTGTTCTGGTTTAAAACCTGACAATTTTTTTTTTTTTGGTTCCTCAAATGATGTGAAATGGAAAGATTAAAGATCAAGAATATATATGCGGAAAAACTGTTGTATAAGATGCATTTTTGTTTAATGATACTAATGGATTAATCGTTCAGGCTACATACCTGTTAGGCAGATGATGGCTTCCAAAAGAAGTGCTTCCCCCAGGGCCCACAAATAATCTTAAACCTTCCTCTAAAAACAAAGCAAGTTAACATGTTAGCTTTCTTTAATATTGCCCTAACTAAAACAAAATCATTTAAAATCTAACAATTTTGTAAACGGTTATTTCTGATGCAAGTATTTTAAGCAATGAGGAACCAAACTTCACAGGTTATAACTCAGAGGAACTAACTTTCTTATAGGTTTGCCCATGTTCTTTCTTTTCATGCTTAATTAAAATAATCCTTTGGGAAAGTTACTGGAGTCATGAAAGGGTCTTTCTTTTCAACTTCCGGGAGACAGGATCAAACAAAAAGATTTAGTGATCCATATACATACTCCTTAAAATCACAAGCAACAGGAACTATGAAGAAAATGAATTCTCTTTAAGGTCTGTAATGTGCATCAGCTTTCTTCAAGTTTCTGTATTTATCTCCATACCTTCTGCACTTGAATCTAAACTGAAGTCTTGACTTTGAAGTATTTTTTCAACTATATCATCTGCATCAACTCTGGTAGCATCAACCCTCTTCAGCTGTGACTCCACAGAGTCTTGCTTCACAGGATGCCTGTAAAGATAAATATATTTAGTGCACTGGAATGTGATACAGTAAATTACATTTTACTTCTGTTAGATAAGCCTTTCGAGTTAAATGTACCTGCAGAGTTTTTCTGAAGAGGCATCTTTAACAGAAGTATCAAAGTTCGTTTCCGTTACTTTTAGGTCAGCCTCTTCACATGGCTCTAGAATACTTCCAATTCCTGTTGAGGTACTACCCACTGAGGCGTTTCTCCTGTGGCAGAGTTCAGAGAAACTGGATGATCTAGAGTGACATGTACTGTATCCTGTTGGGAAACAGGAGAGCTAGGTTATATATGCTGTTGACAGCCAAGGTCATCACTTACCTTTTATCATCCTGAAAGCAGAACTTGTGTTTTGACTTCTTGAAAAGAAACTTCAGAAGCCTTACAGGCTTTTGTATTCTAGCACATGCCATTTTCTGTTTGTTCTTGGGTGGCTTTATAATTAGCTTGGATCTGGTAATCTAGATGTTTTGTTTTACATTTATAGGGAAGAAAGGGGTTTTGCCATAAACTCTTTTTCCCTTCTCTTGAAGGGCCAAGCAAAGTTACTGGATATGTTTTTCATTAGGTTGTTTTAAAAAAAAGTGCAAGATAAACAGGTCCTTTAATTTTTTTGTCCATTTCCTGCATCTAGAAGTAGATGATGGATTGAAGTATTTTGGTTAAAGGCTACTGTGACTTATGTTCTTTTTCACCATGAGAAAAAAAATCAGCTTCAGCCAACATATCCATTTAATTTTGGTTTCTCCAGCTTGATTTTTCCCACGTGGGGGAAAAAAAGCATGGATCTGTTCTGTCTTGATCTTACATACAGAAAAAAATTTAAAAAAAAAAATCAACTTCCTTTATTGTTTCCTATAACATATGGCTAAGCACTACTGAAAGGTAATCATATACTTTGGAGCACATGGGCAGTTCCAGGTTTACTGCTAAGAATCTTGTGTGTAGTGAATGAACCGTTTCAAGGCTATATAGGGAAGCCTCCTTCCCTCTAAAAATGAGGGCAACATCAATCTCCAGTCAATCTAGTCTCTTAATCTGAGTAACTCTTGCTTTCTTACAAATACAATACCTTGGTGTGCCATTACTTCCATTTAAGCTTTAGAACTGAGCAAACCTCCATTCATAAATTAGTTGGTTTTACACACACAGAAGGTAACAAAATCTTTTAGACATGTTACTTAGTGTGACAAAGCTAAGGGAAAAGCCGTGTCACATTCCAACAGGTAATCCCTTTCCCCTTTTAAAGGGGAAAAAAGTTACCTTCCTAACTCATTCCCCCCCTCTTACAAACCCCTCCCCAAACCTGAAACTCTTAGGAAAAGGTTTTTTCAAAAGTTCAAACATTTTTTAAACATACAAAATATACTTATTTTCTGCAGTTCTAAGATTGTGGAAGTTAATAAAAAGCAACAATTTGTACAGAAATTGCTAACAGCTACCTGACAGTTTTGACTGCTGACTTGCATAGCTTGATGTTCTGGAATGTCCACATGCACCAAGTTCATCTGGGACTGAGGCGCTCTTTGCTGAGACATCTGCAACATGTGCAAGTAAGATAACGTTGCTAAAGCCAACATTATTAGTGCTCTGCCTGTAATTTTGATTAGGCTCAAATATCACATTTCCCAAATAGATTAGGGACTTGACACTATTTTTTGTTTTGTTTTAAAATGAATGTTTCAAAGATGCAAGTGCTGCAAAAAACATCATTCATGTTAAGCAATAAGCACTCCCTTCAAAAGAAAACGAAAAAGGAAAAAAACACCCAACCCTGCACCAGTAAAATAGAGTGCGCCATGGAAAACTTTGTATGAAGTATAGTTCTAGGTTCATCTAACTGCAGATATTAAAGAGACTATTATGCTTTTCATAGTAGAATGATACGCTAAAAGTTTTCTAATTGAAATTTCACAAAAAGTAACTGTAGTTAGGACAAGTTATATTAGTGTTAAGGCAGGAAGTACTAATACGTGTAAGAGCCCAGAGCTTGTAAAAGCAAAATTTCAACCTGTAATAAAGTGTTGTAATTATTTTTCTTCCTCCTTATTTACATTTCAGAGTAACTACTTCAGTTTTAAACAACACTTAGAACTCCTACTGCGTGAAAAAATTACATTTAAATGCCCTAAATCAAAGCTACGCATAACCCCCAAAACACTATCCATAAATTGAAGATTAAGAGCCAAATAAAATGCTCGTCAAAATACAAATTCAAAACAGGTCAATAAATTTGTCTCAGCAAACAGACAAGGAAAGATTTTAAACACTAAAAACAAGCCAGGCCATCAAGCCCATTTCTCTTCTTTCTTTCCCTTAAATAAACTGTGTTATAAAAGTAAATGAGAGATTCTACTGATGTTATCTGGGAGAGTACATCTCAGCAAATAAACCAGGAGAAGGTTCCTTTGTGGACCAACTATCAGCATCCCTTTAAGATTTGAAGTTTTTGTGGATCTCCTTGAAGCTATAAAGCCAGTTAGCAAAGAATTAAGAAATTAAGAGCATTATTTCATACCTGCCATGCCCAGATGGGCTACCTTCAAGTTCTCTCCACCTTTCCTGTCTTCATGCAAAGATTCTGATTCTCCAGGAATTGCTATAGACATTGCTGTGGAAGGAGGCCTGTAGTAAGAGATAGGTAAGATCTGCTGCATTTTTGCTGTGATCTTTCCAAAATGACCAGTACAGATTCTTCTGAGTAAGTAGGCCTAACACATTGTGCTTTGAGTTAATAATCTTGTAACCTTTTTTTAGTCTGAGAACATACTGCCTTACCCTTCATTCAAGAAAAGCTATAGCTATTGAGCTTCAGTACATTTTGCAGAATCCATCTGTTTCCACAGTCCTGTGGAAGACTTCTGGGCAGCCTTGGAAAGGCTTATCCTTTTTGATGACTGGTGGAACAACGTATGTTCAGTTTGGAGTTCTAATTGTTCCTCTTTTTTTTTTTTTTTAAAAGCATATGAATCACAGGATAATTTATATGCTAAGAAGTCACGTATTCCATGAAGTACTGAATTACATGCAAGGATGGTAAGTTAAAAAAAGCCAAGAAAAAAGCACCCACACAAAACCCCACTACAGTTACCCTGCTTGGCTTGTGCACTGATCTAAGCCTGGCTTTTTTTCATCTCTTCTGCAGTACACAAGGAGATTCTGGGCTGAAACTCCCTACCTCCCTTTCTAACAGAGGGGCCTCTGGTACCAACTCCATGCATTCCCCTCTAACTTCTACCTCCTGCAAATTAAAAAACATCACCTACCACACAATTTAAATTTGGTTCAATATTAAAGAGTTCTTCCACAAAGCTTAAATGCTTGTTTCAGTTTATAATAAAACTCAAAGGGATATTAAGAAGAGTTTAAAAATTTAAGTGTTTTGCTAGTGCAAGAGAAACTACTTTGATGAGAAAATGACAACGGGAAAGGAATCTTCCCTTGCAAGCAGTAAAATCACAGCTAAATTAGTTTTCAAAATGTTACCTACATTTTTTGGTCTCTGTGTTATTTTGACTTTTAGAACAGACCACGTTGCACGAGTGGTATTTGTTGACATTTTTGCATTTGATAGTAAGTTAGCCAGTAATATGTGATATGTACCCTCTTGTGTTAAGTTTGAAAGTCAAGGGGAAGGGAAGAAGCAAGTACTCCTAGAAGTTGCTTATGCAAACATACCTATGTGACTTAAATGTCTAACATAGCATTCAAGCCTTGCTTTTAAAAGTTTCAAGAACATCACCCCAGATCATGTCAAGCCCTCTAGACTTCATAAAATATGTTGCTGACTCCAGACTGAGAAGTTGTTTTAAGGCTTATTTTTTCCTTCTACAAAAAAAAAAAAAACTGGATTAGATAATTTTTTTGTTGTGTTTGTGTCAAAAGTTTATGTTCCAAAAAATAGTTATATCATCAGTTTGGAAGAAAATGCCATGACCGAATAATTTCAGTCAGAGATTTTTTTCCTAGGGAGCTAAAAACTATTATTTAAATATTGATTTCAACTATTTAAGTATCAGAACAGGAACATACTGTCTTATTAACATACAAGACTAATGTTTAATTGCCTTTGAGAAACTATTCATCAGTATCAGTGACGTACAGCACCTATACGTTAGCAGGCCTGACTCAAAGTAAATCCAGGGTGCTCAGTAACCGGGGGTAAAGAAAACTTTGCCCTATTGAACAACTTCAGATAATACCCTTTTACTATTTGTTTAGTAAGCACAAGATGAGATTTCACACTGTTCTATTCCTCTTCTGTAAGGGTTAGGAGAGGAGAGGAATAAGGGCCTTTAATGGTGAATGGTGTAAAAGGACACTGAAGAATTTCTGCAGCTAGGAGTCATCCGAGTTAGAGTGCTGCAGACCATGTTCTCAGATCCCCTCAGGAACAACGGTAAGGGTATTGCCACACCAGTAATGCAAAAGTTGTAGCTGCTACAGGAAGTAGTTGATCTTGATCGTCTTAACAGAACCTACCTCAAACCAGCAAAAACCTACAAGTCATAGAAGTCGCTTCAGATTGAGTTAGATGCTCAGTGCTGCTTTTCTTGGAGCTGCAGCGTTGTATCACTTTAAACACCCAGTCTTTTTTATTTAAGGAATACTTCAATATAGGTGTAGTGCTACAGAATATACCTATATGAGATTGCCATGTCACTTTGTTGGCTTATTTGGAGGGTTGCCAGTTGCTTAAATTCATCTTTTATGATAATCTTTTGCACAAAAAAAATGCATCCCTACTGAAGTAGAAGTGTTTTAATCCTTACTTACAAATTGCTGCACTATCAACTCTGTCTTTATAATGTAATTTATCTTTGATGCAGTATAAGGTCTGACAGCACAAAAGGAAAATTAAGAACCTACAGGAAACAAGATAAAACTGCCATACAGTAGAAGGGGAAGCTAGCAATTTTTTTCAGATAGTTTTTCTTCTCCTTAAACTTAAAAAAAAAAAAAAAACCCAAAAAACAAAAAACCCCACCCCCCCCCCCCCCCAAAACAACTTTCAACTCTGTCTCAGATTATTTTTGAAAGGGCTAACGTGAGAACAAAGTATGCTGACTCAGACCAAAAGTCCATCCAAACCTGCATCCTCTTTCTGTCAGCAGCAAACAACAGGTGCTGAGAGAATATGGTACACAAGTAGTAATGTATCTGAGTACTCTCCCAGCGTCTGCTCACGTGTAGCTTAGGTATTTCGTGAGCCACAAATGATGTTTCATACTTAATAGCCCTTCATAATTTTTCATTCATTAATTTTTAATTTGTTCTCGAATTTTAGCATGCAGTGTGTTATAGCAAGGAATTCCACAATTTAGTTACATGATGTGGGAAGAAATACCTCCTCCCATTTGATTCCGTCTCCTGCTAGTTTTAGGATGTAATAGTCAATGAAGTGAACGGAAGAAAAAAATCGAGTTTAACTCAATTGAGTTATGACTTTGGGATAAATTTTATCTTTAAGGAATTATTGAATCAAAACTAAACCCCCTTCAAACACCTTGTTACGAGTAAAATACAACTAAGTTTGTTTAAATGTAAACCTGATCTAGACATAATTGCTATGTACTTTCTTGCAGAATTAGAAAGCGATGGCATAGAACTGAAAAGCACCACACTTAACAACCCAGCCTTAAGATGGAAGATTTTCTACATCTTAAAGTGTGTGTGTTGGTATATATATGTACACTATATATAGAGATATCTCTAGATATACATATACATATAGATAGATAGATAGACATAGTAAAAGCAGTGACATTAATAGTCTCAGGTCTGTATTCTGGTAATACTGGTAATTTTTTATTACAGTCTTCAAGTAGTGAGAGAGTTTCCACACTACATTCGTGAAAGCAGATTCCACATGTCCCTGAGCCTATCCTTTAAAATAATGGTTTTCAGGTTATTATAATAACACCTCTTATGACACAAATGCCACGTAAGAGTTCCACTTCCTACTGGTAAGGATTGCTATGTCATGGTTAGCGAGACAGTCATGCGTTCTGAGGAAGCGGGAAGCTTGCCATTGCACTGGATGATTTAGTGACCGCTAAGCGTGTGGGCCTCATAACAAAATGGCTTACTAGTCTAGAAAGAAGGCAACAGTTTCTTACATCTGCATTTTTCCAATGCAGGATTTTTCTGTCCTGTGGTTAGTTACAAAAGCTAACACTTGCTGTAGCAAAGCTGTTACATTTCCTTAGCTACAGATTACGCACAAGGAGGACAAAGAGTCCTGAATATACAGTAATGCATTTCCATGACTAGTTACCACCCACCTCAGATGTGACCTCCTCTGTCCTTAATTGAGTTGCATAGTGTCCTTGCTGAGGGAAAATTCTTAAGTGCTTTCTCTTGTACCCAGTCATATCACACTTTGTTTTTTAAATAAGGCTTTTAAAATCATCCAAGATGTGTGACCAAAAACCGTAACAGTACATTTTCTACACACAGGCATTAGTCAAATTACCCCATACCAAGTATGTGTATTTAGACTTCCTGCAGGAACAGTGTTTCCCTTAAGCATTTATTTAATTCCCCCCCCCCACCAATCATTACAAATGTACAAGTTAATATATTTTTCAAGCAAAGAATAAGTATTTAGTAGCAAGGAGAACTGCCATATTTCTACTGGCATTTTTACCAAGTAAACCATTTATTTTTTGTGCTTATTTCTCGAATACTGTTGTCAGATTGGAGAGTTTTATATGCAAATTAGAAGTGTAATTCTGAACATGAATTAAGCAACCTAAATATGACCAAAAAACTGTCCCACACAGATTCCAAACTTACATTTTAAAACATGGGTCTCCAGACATTAGCTGCATGTTGATCAAAACCTACAAATCAAGAAAACAAGACTCTCTGTAAGAAGATGGAGGGGAAAAAAAGGGGAGGGGGGTCTGTGATACATGGAAACATTTCTAAATTATACTTGCCACAAATCTTACATTGAAGTGGAATAAGATGGTATCACATCTGTACAAGACTTTGTAAATGTGCTTACACAAAAATGTACAGTTTTGTTCTTAATACACATGCAAGCCCCACAAAGGAGCATTTTGTTATCATTATATAGCTGCATTTACAAGAATCTGTAAAAGATATGTAGATCAAGAAACAAAAAAAAAAAAATCTTTCAGTCATTAATAGTAAAGACAGATTTCCTGTCTCTATTTTTCCCTGAAGCCAAAAATCAAAGATATATGTGCAAACAGAATTTCTTTTAAAATAGTGGGTGCTGAAGTATGTTCTTTGTTTCTCAGGAGTGCTTAGCAAACTTCAAGCACACAAGAACTGGCTGTGCTAACATCAGAAATAAAATAAAACCACAAAAGGTAAATAATGCAACAGGACAACAATGCATTGAGAAGAACTGTTGGCTGGGTCAAAGCTATCAATTTACAGTTTTCTGGCCAAAGTCTGTGACTGTCTTAAAGAAAGTAGAAAGTGCATGTCTAAACAGTATACTCAATAGTACAATAAATTAATTCTAATGCCTCGGTAGGGCAAGAATTAAAGTCTACTTGTAACATGCTGTATGCTATTACATTCAAGTTCACACAGGTTATTCCACCTTTTAATCTACCTGGACTAACAGGAGAGAACAACATGGTGGTTCTCTTCCAACAATTCTCACAAATTTTTTACGCTGATTACTATCTAATAGAAAAAGGAAAGTTCCAGGATACAGGACAGTGTTGAAGCTGGCTTATACATAAAGAAGCCGATTAAGAGAGTCACTCTTAGAGCTACACAGGAATTTGCTGAGCTTTCCAGATAGAATTGCTACATTTATATGAATGTATTAACTTGTTCATTGTTGCTTCAGTATTCAATTTTTTTAATCCTTGTTAGAACAGAAACACCTTTTGAATGCTTTTCTTTTACAGCTATCCAGTTGGATTTCCAAGAGTAGGACAAATTCTATTTTAGACTATGTAGATTTTTATGATTCTATCTAATCAAGGCTGATATTTTCACTTACTAACTAGTTTTCAGCAAGCATGTTTTAAATATCACTGAGTGCTTGGTAATACCATATTGGTTTTGGTTCAGTAACTTGTTTTCTATTTTATTAGTAAAAATTTGAGAAAGGAAACAAATTACTTTGAGAATGGAGTTATCCTGCCTTGTATTTTTGGTATCATAACCTTCCAGTAAACAGCGCCGAGTGGTATTTCCCGATCCAGCAAACTCTGCTAGGTTTAGATCTGCAAAGCCCAGCTATTAAGAGAAAATAAAAATGTTAGTAAGCATATTGCTAAATGAGAGCATCTGCTGCATGCACTGCATTGCCTGGCAGTCAACAGCAGTTTGTCTCAAACATGAGTAAGATGATGCCCATTACAGGGAGAGGCCCAAGGCAAAAAGCAGAAAACAAGCTTTGAGTGTTAAACTCCACACAGCTGTATTTTTAGTTACAAATTAAATTTCAAGGGGGAGGGAGGAGGGTTTTCCGTATTTTTAAAAGTAAACACATGAGCTAATTCACAGGCAAGATTAGGTGCATCTATTTACCTTTGCATATGCCTTTCCTCCTTTTAACTCCTGGGGGGGGGAAAAAAAAAAAAAAGACACACTAGCAATTATGTAAGTCAACCATTAAAAATACTGACTTAAAGAAAAGTAAAAGTAGTTTTAAGAACAGCTGAACATTTCTAGGCTAGTATCGTGGTCATCTAGAACTCTGTATTACTGAGGTTCTTGGTGCAACCCAGCAGGAGACTGTCACCTTGTGAGAAGAAAAGGTGAGCGCCTGATAGCAGACCAGCATTTGGCTTCTGCACAGTTCAGCCCTAGTGGTAGGAAGCACTGCATACCAAAATGCTAGCACAATTCAAGGTTTCTAAGCTTACTGCTGCTTGCTAGAAATATCTATCATGGGCTAACTTTACAACGACTGCTGAGCAACTCTTCTGCTGTCCTGCTGGATAAACAAACTTCTTAAGAGCAGTAAAAAAAAAAAAAAAAGAAAAAGAAAAAGGAGTCAAATTATGGCAATTAATAATAAAATTACTATGTAAATTTTGACTAGAAGAATATCGGACTGGTAACAGCTAGAATTTGAATTTTATGAAGTCTACCAGCCATTTAAAAATAAAACCAGAACAAATGCAGCAACAGTGGGGGAAGGAGAGGAGGGAAGAGAAGCTATTTACCTTCCGAACAGACACCCTGCAGATGCAAGCATCCAGAATCCCTCTTGTGGCACTGGCACTGATTTTACACATAAATAAGAACTTTTTCTTCCAGCGGACACAGTTTGCCTGTACTACTTCTCTGCAAATAGAGAAGATGAACTTGTATCAGTTGCACATACTTTCAGGACCATAAAAAGCAATAGGACAAGACAGCTTTAGAACAAACACTGGTTCTACTGTTTGTGGAATGATCACTTTGTGCAAAGTCTGTTCAGAAGCCTAAATAACCATCCTTCATTCTTCTCTTTGCATAGAAAGACTAATAACTGTTCAGAGACTCGGACACAATATTAGACGCACAAAAAAATTTAACACCATATGTTTTTACAGATAAACGAGACTGATTTCCCTAGTTTGCCTAGGAGAGTGACATTTTCCTGGACATTAACTCCCTGGCACACTCTTCCAAGCTGCTGAGCTTTGGAGTGCATGAAAGGAGTCACCTTTGGTGAGCAGTTTTTCAATAATGAGGAAGGGATCATCATATGGGCAAAACTGAATAAATTTGAAGACTGGAACAATACAAAGGAGATGTAGTATAACAACTAGATATAAAGTCATGCACTTGAGGCAAACGAGTTTCTGCTACATACTGGGAACTCATCATTTGAGAGCAACATAGGAAGACTTAATATCTGGATGGATTTGTTGATGACAGGAAGTTTACAACCCAACAACATGATGCAGCTGAGGAAAAAAAAGCAAAAAACACAGTGTGCTTTCTGCTATATTAATATCACGATTAAATTAAGCTCAAGTGGAACATATTATTCCATGTGGGTAACTCCAGCTGAAAGTGAATGAACTCCAGAACCAACAGACAGAGGGAGGACAACTAGAAGGCTCTTGTATCCTGCAAGAAAGAATTAATGAGAATTTAGTTTATGTTGTCTAGCAAAATGAGGATTGAGAAGAGGCAAGGTTACTTCAAGTGCTCCGCGTGATTAAACACTAAAGAGACCGAAGAACTATTTGAGCGGTCGGGACCAAAATAAGGCATAAATAAGACACGTTGAAAACTGAAAGGTCTCTACCCACAGAGCAAGTTTCTAGAATAGCCTTCAAATAGGAGAAGTAGGAGGAAAAAGTACTTAAAGATTTCAATTTGTCAATCAGAGGGGACACAGGACTGTGATTCTGGGGACCTGCCTTGGTGTTCAAAAGCTTTTTTCCAGTCTTGTATTCTTAAGTTTTCCCGTGTTTTGGGACTCAGAGGAGAAAGTGTGCTACTTCTTCCACTCTAATCACTTTAGATACAGGCTTCACATATTTAAGCAAAATCCATCCTTCTTGTCCTTCTCTTCCATTTTTCTACTAGATTCCTGTGTTTTCTAATAACTTCCTACAGAAGCTTATTACTGAAGATCCAGTCTGATATCTTTAACAGGAGGTAGATTTCTATGGTTCAGCTTAAATCAAATGAGAGGGAAAGTTTATCGTATACGGAGATGATATGAATCAAAGGGCTCACTCCCAATGCCCTGGTTTGCTGTGCTGATAAGACTGCCATTTACATCACTCACTGGCACAGTGACTTGCCAAGGTAGGAATAAATTGGCCTGCATAAAATGAGTCAGTTTAATGTCCACAACGGGCTAACAGATTCTGATGATACAGAACTGACTCATATTCAAGCATGTGACCTAAAAGGAACAGGTTCTGTATGCCATGATCTACCTTTTATCCATTATGTTTCCTTATGTAAACCTTCCTGTGCTTTGGATAAGCAAAATCCCAAACTGCCAGTATGTACATTACTTAAATCCAAAAATAGAGCCAGAATTCAAAAGGGTCAAATTTGTAAGACGGTTAACACTCTCTACCGGAAAGAAGCTCAACCAAGAAGAAAGCCAAGTAAAATACAACCTTAAGGGATATTCGATAACCACTAGCTTTTGTTACACATAGAGGGCTTTAATACCTATCGTAGTACTTATGATAGTTGCTCATCTCTCAAATAAAGAAAACAGTCAACTAGATCTCCACTGTCAAGTAGAAACCGCTGGATTGTATGGACACCTGGGTTTGCATATTTGCAGTTTTCATACACCATCCTTAGACAGAACAACTCCTTAATATGCTCAATTTTTCTGGAGATCACAGTAGCCCAGTTTCACTCCAATTGACTTAGAAATATATCTCCAGAATTGATTTTTAAGAAGTTTTTCTTTGTTTCTGAATAACGTATTTTGGGCTCATCTTGACCAAGTAAAAAATAAAAGGTCTTCCTCTCATAAAACTACCATTACATCAAAAACAGTTTTACCATGAGCAGGGGAGAGACAAGGGAACCCCAAAGAAAGAGAACACCAAGACCTTTTTCTTGAACTGTCTAGCTACAACTTTTCCCCTCAAATAGAGGAAGGATGTTTATCTAGCTATTTTAAGCCATTAAATTCACTGTAGTGCTCTGGGCCTTCTCTCTATCACTAGCACTATCAGGACAGATTACAAATGCTGAAGACTCTCAAGAGACAGTGCTGACGTTCTCTGGAGGGCACTGAGGCTGCAGGTCTCCGCTGATACTGAACAACAAGGCCCTCGCTCACACTCCTGCCCTGTCCGTTTTTAGCCTGCAGATGGGAGCTTGTTAGACGACTGAGTGAGAAGGTGAACTTGAGTGCAGATAAACTAAGCGATATGCTTTGTCAAGATTTTCTTTCACTAAAAATAGCAAGTTCTGGCATACTTGTAGTATTTCCCCCTTTCTCTCCCCTGCAAATCCAAACCAAACACACACACAAAATCCCAGGATCAGATTTTATATCTAGTTTCAGCAAAGATTAAGAATCTCAGTTATAACACACATCACTATAATTAAGGAGACCCTAAATTAATAGGATAATTAAATATACTGTCATCTAAACTAAGTTATTTTTGTAGCTGTCTCTTATGCTAGAGAATTACTGAAGAATTTAAAGAACTACTGAAATTGAATCTTAACAGAAATATCTATATAAGACTAAAATGCATGCAACTATAGAAACCTTTAATAAAGGGCAAAAACTCTTATCCAACAATCCTTTGGCCTAACCTCCTCCTCCATTCTCTGTTTAGCCTCAGAGCAAGATACATCAGCTATGACCAAGAATCCACAGGGAGCTTGCGTTTTCACATGTTACTATGCATCCAGTAATATCTGCAAAACAAATCTAGCTTCCAAAAAGAGTTCAGACTAGAAACAACGTAGATTTTCATCTGTTCATTTTAGGGTTATAAAATGATGCTATAGGACTAGAAGGTATTTCATTGTCACCCATAAAGGTCAGAAAATACCTCCCAGTAGCATCTGCTCATCATACAACTAGGACAGTTGTCACTGCCTTCCCTTACCACCAGCTGTGCCAGTGGGACTACCAACAGCAAAAATCACTCTTACTATTCATCATGTCGATAAGTTATTGTAGGTTGTGGTTTTTTTTTTTTTTTAAACACACATCTGTAACATTTCCAGTTACTAAGTAACATTACTACATATAACACCTGTGATTTCCTGGATGTTTCTGTAAACTCAGAAGGTAAAAATAATGTACTGTAATCTTTGAACAACTCACTATTATGGCTCAGGTTATGACTCTGCTTTTCAGAATAGTCTTCCACCTCTGGCAAACTACAGTCAAAGCAGGTTAACATTATAGAGTTGTACAGTATTCCAGACATCACTAACATTGTAATCAAAGAATTTAGTGAACACTAAACGCAGCATGTCTATTTCTAAATGCAAGATTAATGTAAAAAACAACTGCTTGATAAATGTAATAGTGTCCTTAAAAACTTTTATGATCTTGAATTTAAACATATCAATATAATAGCATGTATCATTGTTCAAGACAGTAAGATACCATTAAAAAAAAAAACACACTACACTTTTGGAAGACAGACAACATTTTAAGTGCTTCTCAGTCTGGTCGTATCACAGGTCAGGATTTCCTGAGGCAGAGTAAACTTAATAAACATTAAATAGGATTATCAGACTTTTAAGTTCTCTTGCAAACAAAGAAGGAAAAATTGCTCTGAAAGGATTCATCAGTTATAAACCTTTCTTCTCTAATTCTCGCAAAAAGAAAATAAAGCAAAACCAAGAATATCCCTCCCTTTTCATAAGGGCCTCAAAGAATTATCAGCTTCTGTCGTAGGAGCATTAAGCTTTAAGCAGCAAGACAATTGAAAGAGACAGTTGTAAACACTGTGCACCCCTCACCCCTAGAACGGTTCTTCTTATAATTCCATTAAACAAAGAAAACGTATGAGCATATACTTTAAGGATAATTTCTGTGCGCATAAAAGCGCCAATAACTTATTCCCCTTTAGCTGAAAGAATCAAATAAGGTATCCAGAACTTTAGCTTTTAAGAGTCATATCTAAACTTGAAACTCTCATTTCATGTCCAAGGCCTTTAGGGAAAAAAAAAAAATCCAAAAAATAAACAGTGATATTGATTGGTTACTATGGAAATGAACCCAGATAACTTCTTGGCAACTATGCTTAGGCTACAGGGCATGCTGGAGAAAGCTTTCCGTTATGAGTCAGTTTCCTATGCGCCTCACACAGTCACTTTACCACATACAAAGCAAAAACAGTTGTTTTATGAATCAAAATGTGTTTTAGTTACTAAGATGCATTCAAACATGTCTGAGGTTGTAGTGCTTCAGTTCAATTTAAAAAGGAATGCTATTAGTAAGACCTAGCCAAGAACGATGCAAAATAGACAAATTTTTCAGATAAACTTATTCCAAAGTATAGCTTAAGTTACCATCATTTTACATTTGAAATTTAGTGAAATTGTCCCTCTAAATAAAAACCACTTAATTAAAATTTCAGTTGTGAACAGTGACCTTCCTCAGAGAATTCAGTGCCGTGAATACTTGCAGAGGTACACACACACACCAGATGATTTTTTTTCTTGAGATTTGGTAGTAGGCAGACCTTTCATCAGCTGAATAAATACATCCTCTTAAATGGTGGAGTTACACCCGAGCACCCAAAGAGTTCTAGGCCTCCCTAATGCAAAACCGCAAAAGATTAAATGCTCTTGTGGAGTTCATATTTTTAATAAGCTCATGAATTATATACACCTTG